GTGTTTCTGTCTGTCTGTCTGTCTGTCTGTCTGTCTGTCTGTCTGTCTGTCTGTCTGTCTGTCTGTCTGTCTGTCTGTCTGTCTGTCTGTCTGTCCTAAGACCATGAGGTCAGAAACCAATGTTCTATCTGCTCTATCAAAATGGTCAGATTATTCAGAGTCGTTATCGAGACATTCAAAGAATTGCGTTCGAAAAAAGTTTGATATTATTTGTTGTGAAAGTCAAAGTCTTTGAAGTCATATTTCTCAAAAGTAGGTCGGCCTACTGTGCAGATTTTTTAAAAGTGTAACTCTAGGGTAACTGGTGTGGTTTGCTCCTTCTTTCCTAACAAACATCTATCGTCCTTATCCCTCCACCTTCTTTTTTGTGTTTGTTACTCTCTTGTAACACCTCTAATCTTCGGCACTTATACGACCTTATTGTGTTGCAAGTGACGTAAAACACTTACTAAAACTAAACTAAACTAGGTACTGAGCAGATACAACTTTGTCATTCTGGGGTAATGTTCTGTATTTTGCTCAACCTACAACATACTTATATTATGACCCATACACCGCTGGCCTTGTGTCCCCAGGGGGTGAGGTTCGATCCTGACCTGCCCCAGACCCTCCGCTTGGAGTTCGCAAAGTCCAACACCAAAGTGACCAAACCCAAGCAAGCCTCCCCCCAGCCAGCCGCCCCCCACCCCGCCACGCTCATCCACCCCATCACTGGACGTAAGTATGGCACCACACTGGGACCACTGGTTGGGAAAATATATTTTCTTTACTTTAGATCTTATTTCTTGATACCCGTGTTGTGTTGTTTTTTTAAAGTTTGATACTGATGACGTTTTTGTTGGGGTTTTGGGGTTGTTGGGGTTTGTTTGTTTTTTGTTTTTTTTTATTTTACGGCAACGCACTGGTGTTTATGCGCGTTTTTGAAGTTTGATACTGATTAAATTAATTTTGTGTGTGGCATTTTGTATGGCAACCCGTTGGGGTCATGGGTTACGAGATTTTTTTTGCCCAGTCACATAATTTTTCGTGAGCAGGTAAAATCTGCGTGCACACTTGTATGTATCTTTGAGCAGGCTGGTTCTGATCCCGTGAGCATTGCACGACAGACAAAGTGTTCTCACGTTCTGTGGCTTTGACTAAAGATGTCAGATTTGTGTCTGTGGTGTAGTGATTTCAACCTTTGCGTCCCCCCCCCCCCACCTCGCAAATGGCGACAGTTCAATTCCTTGAATGAAAATAATTGTTCAAAGAAATTTCGTTTCCGTTTGGTTTTTGTTTGTTGTTGCTGTTGTTGTTGCTGTTGTTGTTGCTGTTGTGTTTTTCACCCTCGGCTTCTCTTCGTTTGTTCGTTGTTCTATCTCTTGACAACTTTTAATTTTTTTTCAGATTTTTAATTTTTTCTCTCGTCTTGTTCCCCTTGTGGTTGTAAAGAGTGTCTCTCGTCTTGTCGTGAACGCGTCCACAAATCTCTCTCTCTCTTTGTTTTTTGGTATGGTCTCTCCGACTAGCCTTACCTCCTACATTGCCACCTGGTTTGGTTTTTCACCACGTATGTTTAGCTTCCAGAACCTAATCTCTCCTATCAGAAATGGTCGCTTTGAGCCTCCCCCC